CTCAGTTGGTGAAGCATCCGACTTCGGCTCAGCTCATGATCTCACAGTCTGTGAGTTCGAGCCCCACGTCAGGCTCTGTGCTGACAGCTCGGAGCCTGGAGCCTGCTTCCGATTCTGTGTTTCCCTCTCTGTCTGTTCCTCCCCTGCTCGCACTCTCTCTCTCAAAAATAAATGTTAAAAAGAAAATATATTCAAATAGAGGCCAGGCTGCAGGTTCACAGTTTTCTGCGGGTTGAGGATACGTACTTAGAACTTAGTAGTGTTTTGTTGTTGTTCCTGAAATTTATTTTTATGACACCCTTTCACAGGAACAAGTTATATTGGGTTCTATTTACGGTGCCAAATGTTAGCTTTCCTTTTTAAATATATATATGTTTTTTAAGTATTTTTAATTCAAAGAAAAAAAATAAATAAAAAGTGCAAGAAGGCACATGGATATGGCCTGACTTACGAAGGAGGAACACGGTGGTACCTAACGTGACAAAAAGATTCCACAGGTGATGTGTGAATTACTGAAGTTCAGTGATTACTATCAGTAATTACTGACAGACCATGTCTGATTAGAAATGGTGAATAGTTTCTCACGTTACAGCCAAGAGGACTCTCTTGCCAGAATTGGAGCCTCAAAGTGTAAGCCTTCAATAGCTATGAAGCTGTTATTTATTTACATCATGAATTCATACAGTCCTGACAATTCATACCCTTTGTCCAAGAACAATGCTTTGCAATACCTCCAAATTCATTTATTCATCCAACAAATGTTTGCTGAGCACTTAGTATGTACCAGATACTGTTCTAGATCCTTAGGACACATCAAAGGAGATCAAAGTCCCTGCCTCATAGACCTCACATTCTAGCCAGAAGAGGTGAACCATTAATAATGATACGTTAGGTCACTGACACGTCAAGTGATATGTCAGAAATCAGAGCAGGGCAGGGGGTAGTGGGACAGGGGTCGAGTGTTAAATTGGGAGGGGGCTGGGTCCTTGACAACACTGGTGGCTATTGCTGACGGAGTGAGGGCGAGAGTCATAGCAGATGAGCTCAAGAAGATGATGAGGCCAGATCATACGGAGCCTGTAGGCCGGTGGAAGGACTCTGGCTTTCGCACAAGAAGAGACTTGAGGGGACAAGGGAGGAGGCAGGCAGGCTATTGTAGGGGTCCAGCCGAGAGAGGACCCTGGCTAGCACCTGGGTCACAGCGATGGAGGAAGTTCGATTCCGGATACGTGCAAGGAAGCACCCCACGGTCTGCTGTCACTCATACGTAGAGTGTCAGAGAATGAGAAAAGCCAATCACAGTTATTAGGGGTTTGGCCTCAGCTACCAGATGATGATGGAAGAACCTGTCTGAGCACAAAGTTGACACTTCATAGTCACTCAAGGCATATGCTGTCCCCGTGTGTAGAAGGGGAAACTATGGCACAGAGAGATTAAGCAACCTGCCCAAGGTCACACAGCTGGAACGTGGCAGAGGCAGGATTCAAACACGGGCAGCCTGGCTCCAGAGCCCATGATCTTAACCACTGCTTAACGGGACGGGAGGTCGGCCCAAGGGGCTCTCTGTGGGAGCTGAGAAAGGGCTGTTTTAATAAATCAGGCATAAATTCTCCGGGGTCTCTCGGGGACATTATATTTGGAGCGGGGAAGATTTCGGGGCATTTCAACCTTTCTTGGAAGTGTAACAAAGACCCACCTGAGCCCAGCCTAGCACTGCCTTCCCGGCAGCCCCCGGCCCCTCCCAACCACTTTACCACCCCTTTGCTGAAAGGCTTTGCAAGGCATGGCCAGATTCAGATACTAATGTTTAACAGAAGCTATTTCGGTATTAGAGATTAATCAACTCAAGTGTTGTTCAAACTGGCCCCGATACAACGTGCGGTCGGAAGCACAGCAACGTGACAAGTGAAGACGCACACATCTGCCCCCCACCCCCTTCCACGCGTCTCCGGCTCTGCACTTAGATCTCGGCAAATCTTTCGCACGTTCCTGCTTTGATCCAAGGCCTCATCCGAGCCAGGGTGAGATATGTCACATTTCATTCATAAAAGACACGATTAGAACAGACAATCGGTTATGCTGGGAAATAACACGTTTCCCCAGGCCTAAAAACAGTGTTTTATTCTGAGAGATTGAATATACAAATGGGCCAAGTACAGTAACAAAACTCCGACCCGCCACCTTGCAGCGACCAGGACCAAAGGCCGGACCACACAGCCTCTGCAGTCAGTCGCCAGCCCAGAAAGGTCTGAACTTGGGGTGTGGCTGCCGGCTTCCCTTGTTATTGCCTCTGCTTCTAGCTCTGGGCCAAGCAGAAAAGGCCACCATAGAGGATGCTCACTTCTCGTTAACCAACCTCCAGCCTCCCCACACCGGCAGCCTCCGACCCGAGCAAGCCTTCCCTGGCTTCCACCAGGAGCCCCCCGACTCCCGCCCGCCCTGGAGTCTCCTCCAGACACAGGTGATGGTGACTGGCTCCCTTGGCGTAGGAAGCTCTGACTCGTTTGTTCTCAGTTGGGTGAGGCACAATTTCAGAGCCTTCTTTCTCTGGCCACGAAACAGAGCATAATAAAGAACAGTCCTGGGGCGCCTGGGGGACTCAGTCGGTCGAGCAACCGACTTTGGCTCAGGTCATGATCTCACGGTCTGTGAGTTCGAGCCCCGCGTCGGGCTCTGTGCCGACATCTTGGAGCCTGGAGCCTGCTTCGGATTCTGTGTCTCCCTCTCTCTCTGCCTCTCCCCTGCTCACACTCTGTCTCTGTCTCAGAAATAAATAAACATTTAAAAAAATTTTGTTTTAAAAAAGAACAGTCCTACATAGGGACGGAGGATGACAAGAGACTCGATGCTGACCCAGAACGGTTCAACAGGTGGAGATTGGTCCCCATCGGGACATGGAGGACGGCCCAGAAGAGTGTTCCAAATGGGGGTTCCTGGCTCACAAATGCAGACCCATGCCCGAAACCCAGTGCTCGCCCAACTCATGACTTCAGCAGGTAACCCCTAAACTCTCCAAGTCTCTTTCCACACCCACAGTTCGCGCTCCACCTCCCAAGGCAAAGTCCCTGTGAGAACCCACTTCAGCGCTCCAATCGACTTCGGCGGGAGGGAAGCAGACTCGAGGGTTTCTGCTCACCGCCACGATGACGCTTCGGGGCCCCCTGCACTCTCCACGTGGGGTCCTCTTCCAGCCGCATCGGCCTCCGCCTCCCTAAGTTAACCCTCAGCTCTGGGATGGCTGGTGGGCGTGCATAGCCCGGGTGCACCAGCTGCCCGTCCTGTCTGCCAGGCGGGAAGGGGGTGCTGTGAGGGAATGAAGGGCCCCCAGGGCCTTCCAGAGCCGACCACTGCCCACCCAACACTCTCTAGCTGTGCGACCTCGGGCACGCTCCTCACCCTCTCTGTGCCTCAGGAAAAATAGCGATAACTCGTCTCCTTGAGTCGTTTGTTGGCAGAATTCCGTGAGTCCGTGCATGTCAACAACTTCGAATGTGGCCCAGACCGTTCTCCGTCCCCCATCATTTATGTCATTTCCCTGGCCTGAAATGCCTTCCCAACCAGGCTCCCCTGGCCACCAGACCATCAGCTCTCCCTTTCCTCAAACTCCTCACCCAACAATGTTCTCTCTACACCAAGGAGGACAAATAAGTTAAATGTCAACCACTCCACCTTCGCAGGGACTGGTAGGGACTGCAGGGACTCCTGGGCTCAACGCTGCAGTCCGTTAACACTGTCTGCCACGGCAGAGGGAGTGCTGAAGAGCTGCAGTCGATTAGTGATGTCTGACCGGACAGGAGGCGTGCGCTCTGTGGTATGAGTGCAGAAGCCAGACCCCTGCCCTCCTGGGTCTATCGCAAGCATCTGAAGCTAAGGGCATCTCTGTAGAGCCAGAGCCGAGCTTTAGACCACGCCAGCCCCACCTCTGGAGTGACTGGGACAGGACTGGGTCCAAGCTAAGTTCTGACTCAGTTGTCACCGAGACTAACTCAAGCGGCTCCAAATAGGAACCGTGCTTCCTACAGGCGGCTAAAACCCCTCTTGGGATCTGCCAGAGCCTCGGGATCCTTTCAACTCGAACGAACACACTCCCCAACAGGTGTGGTCTGGCACATTGGCCTCCGTCAGAATCAGAAGGACAGCGGTGCGGCATTAACGATTCATTCCCACGTCTCGCCTGCAACCAAACAAAGCAAGCCTTGCTGGGCAGCCCCCTGGCCTCCGAGCACTAGGGGATAACCACAGGCTAGCCTCCGGTGTCGAGACCAGGCACTGTGCCAAGAGCCTCACTAACCTGATCAACCCCCACGGCAACCCCGAGAGACGCGCCCCGTCAGTATCCCGACCCTACGGATGAGGAAACAGAAGCCCAGAGAAGCTAGAAGGCTTGCCCCAGGACGGAGCCACAGATCCGACCGGTATCCCACGAAGCTTCGTGAGCAAAACAAGCTGAAGACAGGTTTGCCCCCCAGCACAGAGAAGCTCCCCACTTTTTGCAACCCTAAAACTGCATCTTCATCGTACAGATAGAGACTGCTGGTTTGCTTGACCAAAGGATTCTTTACCGACGGAAGCCTGAGAGGTCGGGGACACTATCTCAGAAAGCTCGGTCGCGTAGTCAGAAGGTGGAATTCATCTGCAAAGTTTCCCCTTACGGGCAGCAAAGACAGGGTTCTGTCCGCCAAGTCAAGGCCGGCAGTGACAGGTTCGGACTATCATGTGACAGCTTAGCTCCCAGCCTGAAATGCTGCTCTCAGAGCATCTGTTTTTATTCCTGGCTTCACAGCAGAATAACCCAGGGAGCTTATAGAAAATGCAGGTGCCCAGGGCCCACCCCCAAATATCCTGCTTTACTCTGTCATCTTGCGTCGGTCCCCATCCCGTGTCCATCAGTCTCCTCGCTATCCTGGGCACCCAGCAGACGACCAACACCCCATTACTAACGGACAGTTCATTGACCGCAAGCTGACTTCTCCCCCGCCCGACCCGGCCCGGCCACTTACCTGAGAGTGAAGTGGTCTGCCACAGAGCCACTGGTCAGGGAGACCAAAAAGGTGGCCGTGTCCCCTTCCCGGACGAGGTTCAGGGGCACCGAGACGACGACGTTCTCGTCCAGGCTCACCAGGGACCACTTGAGGTCGTCCTGAGTCGGGTAGACCACCACACTCCCGATCCTCTCCCGGGCCGGAGATGCCTGCTGGGGGCCGTCCTGGCCGGAGTGGATGTTGTTCTCCCACTTGCCGTCCTCCGCCAGCAGGCACTGGCCGGCCGGGTCGGCCGGGTAGAGCGAGAAGAAGAGCTCCATGGCGGTGCCACCCAGCAGGGCAGGGATCTCCTCCTCGGGCTCCAGGTCCAGCCCGGAGCTGAACCACTCGGGAAGCAGCTCCAGCTCGGCCACACACAGCCCCGGGTCCCCTCGCAGCCGGCAGCTGGCCGCCACCTCTCTGGCCTCGGGGAAGGCGAACATCTTGACGCACGGGAGGTCTTCCTCGGGGTCGCCGTCATCCCAGTGCGTCCCAGTCACGTAGAACAGCGTCTGCACCTTGGGCCTGTTGGAGTAGACGGAGCTGTCGAGGATGTGAGATTTCAGCTTCCAGTTGAAGGGAAACTTCTCCGTGTTTCCGAAGGATGTGGAGGTCAACAAGAGGTCCTGGGGGATGGGCTTCTCCGCTGAAAACGGGCCATAGCTGGCGTTGACGGTCGGGGGGCTCCGGGCCCGGTAGATGAACAGTGACTCCACCCGGGCCTGCAGACTGGAGTTCCTCGTGACGTCCTGGTTGGCCTCTTTAAGGAAGAAGGCTTCCTCCGCGTCAGCGATGCGCAGGCTCGTGGGCAGGTAGGCAGGGAGCGAGGAGAACCTCTGCAGGCTGTCCACGATCCCTCGGCTCTCGGTCTCTGTGCGGGAGAGGAAAGCAGAGGAAGAATGAAGGCCGGGCCCCAGCGTGAGGGGCACAGTCTGCCCCCGCCGCCCCCTGGCCACGCCGGGCCCCGGCACAGGGCTCTTCGGGGACTCCCCCAAAGCAGCCGGTGTCGAGTGAGAAGGAGCCCATCTGCCACCGATCCGACAGCCTGCGGGCTCACAGGACCTCTCTGTGGGGTCATCCCACAGACAGGAGGCTGCACACCCGTGATGCCCACCCGAGCCCACGTGCCATCGTGTGGCACCTCCACCTGCTGCGTCGCTCGGATACTTACGCTTCTGCCCAGCCCTCCCAGACGCGTCGGACATTCCGACATCTCCATGATTCTTTTTTTAAGGGGATTCTTTAGTGTTTATTTATTTATTTTTGAGCCGGGGGTTGGGAGAGAGAGAGAATTCCGAGCAGGCTCCACACGCTGTCAGCGCAGAGCCCGACGCGGGGCTCGAACTCACGAACTGTGAGACCACGACCTGAGCCAAAATAGTCAGATGCTTAACCGACTGAGCCCCCACCCAGGCGCCCCGACATCTCCGTGACTCTTACTGAAACGAGGGCGAAGCTATGGCTCCGCACTCCCGCTTCTAGAAAGCTCTCCTCCCGAAATACCAGGGAGAATGCACAGACGCTGATTTATCTACAAGGATGTCGGCTGAAGTTTCACTTTGCGAACAAACTGAGGAGCGCGTGTGCTGGGGCCAGGGGCCTGGATGTGAATCCTGAAGCCGCCACGTCCTGACTGATCGACCTGAGCAAGTGACTTTAGCCTCTCTGTGCCTCAAATGTCCTCATATAAAGTAGGAGGTAAACAGAAGTCCTACCCTACTGGGTTATTGTAGGAATTAATGAGTCGGTAAACATGAAGTGCTCAGGACCGTGCCGACCCCCATAAACATCAGCCAGTCTTTGCCTGTTACTGTTACTATTACCACTACCTGTTCAATGAAACCATTCTAAGGACTTATTCACAGAAAATGACATAAACTGCACATTTTTAATTTTTAAAAATTTTTGCAACACAGAGACAGAGTGTGAGCAGGGGAGGGGCAGAGAGAGATGGAGACACAGTATCTGAAACAGGCTCCAGGCTCCGAGCCGTCAGCACAGAGCCCGACGTGGGGCTCGAACCCACAAACCGTGAGATCGTGACCCGAGCCGAGGTCGGACGCTCAACCGACTGAGCCCCCCAGGCGCCCCTGAACTGCACATTTTTACAGTGGATAACAGGCAGCTCTAAGAAAAATGAGGTAGAGCTGCATAAACATACTTGGGGAAATGTCCACCATATGTCAATAACTATAAAAAATTACAAATGTATCATATATGATCCTACTTGGGTATTATTTCAAGATTCCCTATGTATATATACACATGTATATAGTATATTTATGTTTGTGTGTCCATAGAACCAAAGAGAAAAGGTTTCACCTTTTAACATCTACTTTCTTTAAATTTGTGACAACTGTGTATTATCTTGTTAATTAAAATATATACATATGCATAAGCATGCGTATGTATGCATGTATCCCTATAGGCCTGTGTGTATGTTACTTTCAAATGGGAAAACACGGACCCAACAAGCTTTTTTCAAACTAAGGAGAGTCCACCAGTAGGGGCACCTGGGTGGCTCAGTCGGTTAAGCGTCCGACTTCAGCTCAGGCCATGATCTCACGGATCGTGAGTTCGAGCTCCGTGTCGGGCTCCATGCTGACAGCTCAGAGCCTGGAGCCTGTTTCAGATTCTGTGTCTCCCTCTCTCTCTCTCTCTCTTTCTCTCTCTCTCTGCCCCTCTCCCACTCATGCTCGCTCTCTCTCTCTCTCTCTCAAAAATAAATAAAAACATTAAACTTTTTTTTAATAATAAATAAAGAGAGTCCACCAGGAATCAGGATTGGCAAATCAAGCCAAGAACAAACAGGGCTTCTCCCCTGCCCTGAAATAAATCTCCAGCCCTAAAGCCAGAGCAAGAAGAAATGCAACCTGGTGGGTGGGTTTAGTGTAGCCTCCCTGGTTGACAAAAGGCAAACAAATACCACTCCATACACTCTAACTCCTGGTAACATTGTTTTCTGCAACCATTACGAATTCTGCAAAATATACTTTTCTTTTTATTTTTTTTACAGTTTATTTATTTTTGAGACGGAGAGCATGCGAGCATGTGTGTAAGCAGGGGAGGGGCAGAGGGAGACAGAGAGAGAGAGAGAGAGAGAGAGAGAGAGAGAGAGAGAGAGGATCCCAAGCAGCCTCCATGCTGTCAGCGCAGAGCGGACACAGGGCTCGATCTCACAGACCGTGAGATCATGACCTGAGCCAAAATCAAGAGTCGGACACTTAACTGACTGAGCCACCCAGGTGCCCCTGCAAAATAGACTTTTCTATTGATTTCATTTGGGGTGCCTTTTCAGGGCTGTCCTTGGTGAGCCTTCCTGGCCCAGAGGATGACAAAATTATAATGAGGAGATTAGGGAAAAGATACAACCACATAGGGGCTGATGCATCATTTCCCCAAGAAGGTGTTCAGAAAGCCAGTTCTCCACAAAATACTGTACGATCTCACTTGCTTGTGTACCCTAAAATAGTCAGAGTTATGGAA